AGCTTCTGCCAGCTCAGTGGGAGCCTCTGAATAACACTTTTTGTGTAGATGGTTCCCTTTGAAGACCTTCATTTGATCAATTGCATGTACAATATTGTCTTTTTTTTTAACTCAATAAACATTCATTGCATACATAATAGAGGTTAGGCACCATCCCCAGCCTTGGATACAAGGATTGGTGCAGCCCAGCTCCTGCTCTTTGAGGCATGCAGTCTAGGAAGGGAGACAAATCTGGACGTAATTACAGTGCAAAGCAGCAAGTAACATCACAGATAAAATAACATGCTGTAATGGCTCTTACCCTGCCTGGCAGAGCACGAAGACCTCAGCGCAGGTGACATCTGTGCTGTTTCTAGAAGGGCAGCAAAGAGGGGGAAATGGTATACCATCACCCCGCAGGACGGCTGGCTCAAAGTCACAGAAACATGACAAAGAAGGGCATATGTGAAGCACGCTTCAAGGGGAGTCCACCTAAATGCCGTGAGATTGATTTCCTCCCCAAACTGCAGACTTGGCCAGTCAGCGACCCAGTCTTCCAGCCACGTGACCTGGCATCTGGCATGTACCAGTCATCAAATGGAATTACACGGCACTGACAAATTGTTACCTCACCCTGGGCAGAACATTCTCCCTCCAGCTCCCTCCTGCTTAATACCTGTTAATGTGCAGTAGTGATGGTTTATCTGTACAGGGATGTCAACTGGAATGTGTCATAACTTTACCACAAATGGAGATTTGTGTGTGTGTGTGTGTGTGTGTAAATTATATAGACATACACGTGTATGTATATATGAGTACGTGTGAATGAGTTATCCCATTTATGTGATTTTCTAGATGCATTAAGCTAAGAGACCATCAAACGTTTTTGTTTTGTTTTAAAAAACCATACATATATATGGTCATGCATTATTTTGTATTAAACATATGTCCATCCGTGTATATGTATATGAATGAGTTACCCTGTTTATATGAATTTTCAGATGCATAAAACTATCAGTGACTACCAAACATTTTTGTTTGTTTTATTTAAATTAAGTCTTCAGGGGCGCCTGGGTGGCTCAGTCGTTAAGCGTCTGCCTTGGGCTCAGGTTGTGGTCTCAGGGTCCTGGGATCGAGCCCCGCATCGGGCTCCCTGCTCGGCGGGAGGTCTGCTTCTCCCTCTCCTGCTCCCCCTACTTGTGTTCCCTCTCTTGCTGTGTCTCTTTCTGTCAAATAAATGGATTAAATCTTTAAAAATAAATAAATAAATAAATAAATAAATAAAGTCTTCATGGAAATATTTCTGAAAGTGTCAGAAGGGTGAGTTCTGGAGTCCACGTGCTCTGTTCGGATCTCTGTTTCTTCACCTCCTAGCTCTCTGTCCTTGGGCAGGTGACAATCTTTCTGAGTCTCAGTGTTCTCCTCTATAAAATGAGAATAGTAGTAACAACCTCATAGGGTGGCTGTGTTCATTAAATGGGTGCACATGTAAAGCATATGTATGTGGCGAACATTCAAGAAATGCTAACAAGTAATACTTTATGCATATTAGAACTGGTTCTTGAATATTGGGGCCATTATCATGAGCACTGATGATTGTGGGAAAACATAGCTGGTACCCTCATGGCCTATTAAAAGTCAGAAAATGATTTGCCCCTCTACTCAACGGTCCCAGACTGCCAAGCTTCTGCTCAGTCTTGTCTGGTTTTTGAGTGTTTATATAACATCTCTTGTTTTCAGACTACCAGCTATCACACTCTGAAATCATTAATATGTATGAGAACCTAACAGTTTTCCCTTAGTGTTTCACTGGCAAATCAAATAATCCAACCTGTTTAAATTCTATCTGAAGTAGGAATTTAGGGGTACCTGGGTGGCTTAGCTGGTTAAGCGTCCACCTCTTGATTTCAGTTCAGGTCATGATCTCAGGGTTATGAGATCAAGCCCCGCATCGGGTTCCACGCTGAGTGTGGAGCCTGCTTGTCCCTCTCCCTCCCCCTCTGTTCCTCCCCTTGCTTGCACAAGCACTCTCTCAAATAAATAAATAAGTAAAATCTTTAAAAAATTAAAATAAAATAAAGTAGGAATTTAAAGGCTCTGACTGAACGCCCAAGTCTGTGCTTCAGTGTCCACACTCCGTGTTGTCTGTTTTAACCACTCAAAGATCTTGTGAGCCGGTTTCAAGGTTATTAGCTATGGAAAGACAAATGCTACATGAGCTCACTTCTATGCAGAATTTAAACTAGTCAGACTCATAGAAGCAGAGCGTAGAAAGGTGAAGACTAGGAGCTGGTGGGAGGGGGGAATGCGATGTTGGTCCAAGGTATGAAGTTTCAGTTACACGGGGTAAGTCTGTTCCAGGGATCTAATGTGCAGGGACATGACTTAGTTACCAGTACCGTGCTGTGGACTTGAAATTCGCTAAGACAATAGATCATAAAGTGATTCACCAGAAAGGAAGGAGGGAGGGAGGAAAGGAAGGGAAAGGGAAAGGGAAAGGGAGAGGAGAAGTGAGGAGAGTAGAGGAAAGGAAGGAAAAATGATAACTGAGCTGATGATATATTAGTTTGCTTGATTATGGTGATGATTTTACAAGGTATACATATGTATATCAAAACATCAAGTTGTATGCCTTAAATATATACAATTTTTATTTGTCAGTTATACTCCAATAAAGCTGTGTTCAGTTGCAATTGAACACAGTAAAACTATGGTATAATTTTTAAGTAGGCTCCACGCTGGGTGTGGAGCCTCATGAGGGGCTTGAACTCAAGACCCAGGGATCAAAACCTGAGCTGAGATCAAGAGTTGGACACTTCACCAAGAGAGCCACCCACACACGCCCTGTGGCATAACTTTTAAAGAAGATTATCTGCAGTGTGTATGAAAGATGCTGCTCCTATCAAGTGACCTCCAGGAAACTGAGAGGATGCTCTTAAAATTTTACATTCGTATCTGAGTGACACAGGACTTTAAACATCCATATCTTTGGTGATTCAATGAAGAAATAATTGTAACTAACCTCCTTATTAAAGCTAAATATGGCTTATAAAAAAATCTATGCAAACTTTTTCTGGTTTTAAAAAATCGTCCAAGCATGTACTAACTCAGCTTACCTAGAACCAAATCTCAACCCCATAATCCAAATAGCATTTGATATGTTTCTTGATTTTTTTTGGTAATTTTTAAATAAACAACTCCTCGTGGGCCTTAGCCTATTACTTTCCATGAACACATTGTATAAGAGACCAGAACTGCCACATTGTAGTCTGTGTGAATGTCATGCCCTGAAGTTGTGCAGGGAAGCAACCCCAAGTGAGATTGACTTTTTTTTTTTTTATAAAGGAAGAGATTTTATTGATTTATTTTTTAAGTAAACTCTACCCCCAATATGGGGCTCGAACTCATGACCCCAAGATCAAGAGTCGCATGCTCTACCAACTGAGTCAGCCGGGTGCCCCAAGATTGCCTTTATAATAAGTTTGTGTGATTTATTTTTTAGGGGGTTTTGGTGCTCTGGGAGCCAAACTGTCTCGTGTCCAAGATGACTGTGTTCACACACCCCTGTCGCCTGCTCATTCTTCTGGCTGTGAATGCTTATTAGCAACATCCTTCCCAATTTTGAGAATATTTTTCTCCAGAAAATAACCTCTATGCCTTTTCAGCATTTCAAATGTTCTAAACCTGGCTCTATAAAATAAAATAAATCCCAAACTTCAGCTAATTCTCTCCCCTTTGGCTCATAAATAGTAAATCCTTTTATTATTTTTTTTAAGATTTATTTATTCATTTATTTATTTTGGAGAGAGAGAGCGTGCAAGTCGGGGCAGGGGTAGAGAGAGAATCTCAAGCAGACTCCCCGCTGAGCGTGGAGCTCTACATGGGGCTCGATCTCACGACCCTGACCTGAGCCAAAACCAAGAATCAGGCACCCAACTGACTGAGCCACCCAGGTGCCCCTCATAAGTAGTAAATTCTACATTTTTTTCTTTTTTTTTTAAATTTTTTATTGTTATGTTAATCACCATACATCACATCATTAGTTTTGGATGCAGTGTTCCATGATTCATTGTGCATAACACCCAGTGCTCCACGCAGAACGTGCCCTCTTTAATACCCATCACCAGGCTAACCCAGCCCCCCACCCCCCTCCCCTCTAGAACCCTCAGTTTGTTTCTCAGAGTCCATCGTCTCTCATGGTTCGTCTCCCCCTCCGACTTACTCCCCTTCATTCTTCCCCTCCTGCTATCGTCTTCTTTAAATTCTACATTTTTAATAGACTTCTGTTTAGAAGTATTACACATTTTAGTTCCGAAACACTAAGTGCCTCTTAGCTTGCCTCTCAGCCATGTCCCTTCCCTGATTAGCCCCTTTCCAAAACACACTATGTCCTCTCCTGCCCATGGACTATGGGGCCTTTATGCTTGCTGCTCGTTCTCTTTGGAAAGCCCTACCCCTGTTTCTTAAACTCCTACGCGTCCATCAGAACTCAAGTGATATGACCCGTCCCCTCCCCTTTGAAGGCTTCTCCATCTGGGTGTGCTGGGTTGGGTACCCCCAGGCGTTCCCATAGTGCCCTCTTACTCACCCTGTCTGAGCCCTTAGTTGCTGTCATATGCCCACACTCTGTGCTGACCTGGAAAATCCTTAAGGACACATTCCTTCTCTCTTTTCTGTTTCCCTTATCTAGCACGTCACAGGGACTCCATTATTGGTAAATGATTTCATGAATATCATTTCCCCCTTATAAAAAAAAAGACACTGTACTCCCAGCTAATTGAGCCTATCATGATCTACTAATTTTCAAGTTCTGATAAGTTTGTCAACTAACTGAAAATGTCAACATTTGAGAAGGTCAGCCTGACTACTTGGGTGAGGAGAGGGACTTAGGGGTCTCGGTTTTGTGAGACATGGCGATTTCTTCAGGTGGGTGCTGACATCACAGCACAAGAGGGCAGGGAATGTCAACCACCATCCTTTTGTGTTGTTGTTGTTGTTGTTGTTGTTTTTAACCTTTTTAGGTTACAAATGCTGCCGTCAACTCCCATGGCCAGTTGACTCTTCATCTCAAACCTTTCCTTGTGTGTGGAGGGGATGCGTTCACCCAGTCCAACTTCGATGGCTGCGTCACTTCTGCCCGGTGTGTTCTAGAAGCTTTAAAGAACCATGTTTAGCACCTGTATCTTTGTCCTCTGCGTGAGCTTTGGGTTTTTGTTTTCACAAGTTTCTGTTATTGATTATTTTGTTTTCTATTTTGTTGAGAGAAATTACTGGAAAATTTTTCATATGGAGTATAAAATTGATTTTATGATTCTGACAGTTACAACCCATGCTAGAATGAAAATGCCTTGTGCCATGCACCTTTCATGGTGTTTCTGAATTGTCATGACTACTCCTTGTTAGAGGAAAACAGTGCTTAAGAATAACAAATGGCCCTCCCAAAAAAGCATGTCCAGTCAGAGTAACGGTTCATGTTCCAAAATCCTTATTCTTTTGAAAATTTCCATTCCAAATAAAGAATAATTATCCAGTCCTCATTTTTAATCTTCAAGTATGTCCTTGATTCAGTGTTTTTGCCAATTGCTGAACTACAGGATTCCCCCAAACTGTGGCTAACGGAGCGTAATTTCTGTCTCTCTCTAGTTATTAAATGATCCTGAATCGTTGGTCATAGAATGTCATTGTTTCTAGGACAATATCGTTTGGAGGGCAATTGACTGACAAAGAAACCCCTCTTCAAATTTTCACATAATAACCAGATGCAACTTGACTCTTCAAGTCCTATCATAGTTTTTAACCTTAAAAAAGAATTCAGTCCTAACATGAAAGGTAAAAATTAAATAGAAGCTGAGAGGCAATATATTGATCTTTACCTCTTGCTCTACCGGATGGCTGGTGCCGTTAACTTCAGGTGGTCCCTGGGATGTCCTGTGGCATTTAGAGTGTGTCGAGTTTAATGAATTTAATACAACAAGAAAATTTACTGAACTGGAAAATAGATGCACTTAAAATAGTTCAATATTTGCCCACTTAGAGGTTCAGCATATCACCCACATGCTTCAGTGACCCACCTGCTTCCCGTCACTTGCTGGCTGGACAGAAATTGATTCCCCCGCCTTCTAAACCAGCTACCTGTCACTAAAGGAAGGGGGAACTGCGTGTGATTTCTGGTTTGATGAGATGACTGATATTGAGATTTCTTTCATCATTTTGGCCCATATTTAATTAACATTTGTCTTTCTCTGGTTTTACCCTGGAAGCATGGCAGAAAAGACATTCAAATGTGTTAACTATCTTGTGTTTAACTGATGCCATTCTGGAGCCATTGGATTAATAACCTCCTGAAGCCTTAAGAACAATTGTTGTATTCGTCTCATGAATGCACATCCTCCAAAGAAAAGAGCAAAAAAGGACTTATGAAGGTGGGGTGAGTTACTTAGAGAAAAGATGCGTCTAAGTCATTACTGATGACTTTTAATATCTACTCCTTCTAATTCCCTAATAATTCCGCATCTGTTTTGAAAAATCTATGGCACGTACCGGAAAAGGCTCAAACCTGCTTAGTATGTAGATCATCGTTACTTCGCCATTTAAGTCGTTTTGAAAACTCATTTTACACGTAGATCCATCTCTGTGAGGAAGAGGCCAATTGCCTGCCGCTCAAATAAGGAAATAAAATGTATCCACTGCTTGTGTTCTTTATTTTCATTCACCTCTTTCCCTTCAGAAATTGAACCGGGAAGAAAAATATATTGTGCTGGAGGCCATCCTAGAGGGCCATGAAACTCAGATGGCCAGGATGCCTTGAAAGACCCAGGGCGAGGGCATCCGATGCCCCTGGGAAGTCAGGGTCGCCAAGCATCTGGAGCACTTGCGAAGGTGGATGTCTGTCAGCCCGCAGGACCCCCACAGCACCGTGGTATTTGCAAACAAGAACTTTTATTAAATCAAGCCAGGCAAGGAAAGCTGCTCTGTTTTGAAAGGAGCATACTTAACTGAGAAACGGCTGGAGCAGTGGGGTGATTTAATACTTGTTAGCTGATAAATATAGACTTCGCCAGAATAAAACTTTATGATGCAGTGTTGAAAAGCTTAATTACTAAACTGTCTTTGCAGATCTTTCTTGCTCAGAAAGCAAGGTTGACAAATTATAACAGTGGAATAGTATTTTTCACCTTTGGCATTTCTGAAGGGGAGAAGTATGTCTAAAAACATCGAGAAAGCAGTAATAATCCCAGACCAGATATTACTGAGGGGAAAAAAAAGACAGTTCCTTGAGTCACCAAGCCTTCTGTGCAAAATGCCATCATCCCCACCCCCCCGTCTACCCACTACCTTGTTAAGTAAAAAGAACAAGGTCAATTTTACATTTATCTGGTATTTTATACTCATCCAAGTACATATATATATATATATGTATATATATATATATATATGCCGGTATATACTTTATATATAATATACATAACAATATGCCAGAAGAGGAGCCCACACATCTATAACCCATTTCTATTTACAAGGCACCACACCGCTGCTGGATGAACGTGGTCACCAAAGCCGAACCAAAATATTAGTTGGAGGTACGGCCCTCACTATGTATGTGGCCCTCTCATGAGGCTTCATTTCAGAGAGCTAACACTAACGCTGATGTGATAGATACAGGCGTCTGATACGGAATAAAGTCTCCATAAGTCCTGGCTGAATGATGGATCTTCCCGTGATTTTCATTTGCTGGCTTATTTCCTTCCTCGGGGGTCACTGGCTCTGACAAAGAGCTGCATCCTGACGACGCTGAGTTTCAGCGCAGGCGCGGTTGGCTAAGCGCGCGGACCCCCACGCGCCTGTCCTTCCCTCTGTGAACCTGTCGGGCTCGGCGTTCCCTGTGCCCTTCTCCTGCCCTCTGTCCTGTCTTTCTCCCCTTCTGCTTTTTCTCCTGCTTCTTCCTCCGGGCCCAATCCTCCGTTCTCAGAAACCTGGAATCGAAGTGCAATCACGTTGTGATCCATAGTATTTGTGATTCCTTGTTTTAATATACCGCTTCTTTCCCCCCCGAAAATTTAAAGCAGTCAATCTGGCTTTTTCTTCGAGGTGACTGGACAGTCATTATTTTGATTTTCAGAAGTGACGCGAGAATTTAAAACTGGCTAAGCTTTCGGGGATCTTGGCCCTAATAACCTAAAAAATACACGCAAAGCATGCATGGTACCAGGCTCTGCGGTGGACACAAGGGACCATCAGCAGCAGCGTCCACCCAAAGAGTCCAGTTAGGAGCAGACAAGTCCCATGGAGTGGGAGGCGGGGTAAAGGTCCGCCTTGGTGTCATTGCAGGCAGTAGATAAGGTGCTCTAACTCAAGAAGCTGGGGAATCCAAGGAGAAAGAACTAGGTTTTCTTGGGAGGGGGTTCCTGAACAGATGCGGAGATGTGTCAGTCAAACGCATCCAACAACGTCCCGCCCTCCGCACCGGACCTGGGCTGACCTGGCTGACTCCACGAGTCCAAACTGCGCATCGCTGTGGTTAAGACAACTGAGTGCTTTCAGTGGAGAAGGCTCAGTGGAACATAGAATGTGATCTCCGGGAAGAAGAAGCTTCAGCAAAGCTCACACGAGCCTGGGGCAGGACTGAGCTACTGTATTCCAGTGGGGAATGTGTTTGTGTTCCTGCCAGGACCATCCGGCCAGGTGAGCCAGGGAAGGTGGAAATTCGATTATGTTCTTTGTTTCCTTCTCCACGGGACAGTGATTGCAATCCACTTAAGAGGCTCATCTGCCTTAGATGAGCCTGCTAGTGAGAGAGAGTCTTTAAGAGTGTTGATTTAAAACACATGTAGAATCAGAGAATCTGGGAATGTCTGGGTTTGGACGGGCTTGGAGACCATTTAGACCAGTTCTTAGCCATCTTGGATTTTGAATCTTCATGAGAAACTAAGGAAACTATGAATCTTCACCTAATGACAATGAAAATGCACATAGACACATAGAATTCACACACCATTTTAGAGCCTGCTGGCTAGCTGCCTATTTTTGTAAATAAAGTTTTATTGCACACAGCCTTGCCCATTCGTTTGTATTGTCTGTGGCTGTTTTTGCATTACAACCGTAGAGACGAGTGATTGCGACACAGACCATAGGGACTGCAAAGCCTAAAATAGTTACTATCTGGTCCTTTAAGAAAAAAACTGCTGACTCCTGTTCTAGAGGGTTACAGGCCTCTGCAATCTATTTTTAGACACTCAGAGGTCTGTGGACCCCAGATTAAGAACCTCTAAATCTCAGCCCTATCACTTTATGTAAATACAGGCTTATCTTAGATCCACACATCTGGTCCATTGTTCCTTGATCCTGTGCCTTAGTGTAAATCCTTGAAGGCAAGCCGTGTAGCTTTGCAGTTAAGAGCGCATCCTCAGAAGTTGAGTAGATCCGTGTTTTAATCCAGACTGCTCCTCATTGTGGGACCTTGAGGCAGTTAAATAACCTCACAGCCTGCTTCGTTATCTGAGAAAGGAGTTCAAGAATTTTATCTCGTTTATCTCATAAGATTGTTGTGAGGCATGAACATGCATACATCCTTAGCAGAGTGCTGGACACACAGTAGGTGCTTAATAAATGGTTAATAGCAATGATGAACGGGAAGAGGAGGAAGAGGAGGAGCCGATCCTCCTGGTGCCTCCAGGCTCCTGTGAAGGCCAGTTTCCTCTGCATTTACATAGGACGCTCAGGAGAGTGGATGGTAAGGCGAGCACGTGTGTTGATCGCAGATACGGTGAAACACAGAAGCTTAAAAGCTCCAGGTTTCTTCCAGCCTTTGTGTAACATAATGGTCGTGTCTACCTGAGACCAGCTATGGGCCACTTTCTCTTGTCCTGCTCCAAGTGGTAAGCAGACACCTGTCCCTTGGGAGGTGAGGTGGTTTGCTCAGCTGCAGGCCTTGAAAAGAAACCAGGACAGGTCATTACCAGGAGTAGGGCAGGTGTAAAATGTAGGAACATTCTCTGTAATGAACACTGTCTTCTCCTTTGCAAGCATGTGTGCAAAAAGCTGCATGCTTGGACAGGCTCCCTCAGATTATTTATTCTGAAACACTGTAAAAACTAGGAGTGAGTTATTTTCACATTCTTAACGTGTTTGGCTAAGTATGCAGATTCATTTCCTGTCCCTGGCCTTCATTTAAAAA